TGAAGCCTTGATTTTGGCGTTTTGACAGTCGACATCTTAGATTACGGCCATCACCACCTTTGCTTTTTTGGTAACCAATAAACAGAATTGACCATATTTGGACAGTGGAGGAAAAATGTAGAGACGCCGTATATGGCTCTGGTTGAGTAGCGACCTGTCGATCACAAGGTAGCCCCGCCCTAAAGCATACTCTGCTTTATGGTCTATGTGACTCTAAATGGACCATCATTTACTAAATGAACATCATGCTGTATTGAAGAAGACTTGAAACTAGAGATTGAGACCATAAACTCATATTTACAATGTTTACTGAGGTAACAAATCAAGAGAGAAGTAGAGTAATTTTCTCATAGACTTCTATACAACCAGAGGAGTCGCCCCCTGCTGGACATTAGAGAGAATGCAGCTTTAAGGCATGAAGCATTGGCTTCACTCTTCAGAACCGGCAGTTACTGCCTTGTATTTAGCTCCAAAAGCAGATTAAACATTCCTTAACGTTTTCTTTGATACAAATAACAAATGTCAACCTTTGTGCAGCCTTGGCACAGGCAGGCTCTCCATCCATCCATCCATTTTCCTCCACTTATCTGGGGTCGGGTCGCGGTGGCAACAGGCCAAGCAGGCTGACCCAGACTTCCCTCTCACCGGCAACATGTTCCAGCTCATTCTGGGGGATCCCGAGATGTTCCCAGGCTAGCTGGGAGATGTAATCCCTCCAGCGTGTTCTGGGTCTTCCCCGGGGTCTCTTCTCAGTTGGACGTGCCTGGAAAACCTCCAGTGGGAGGCGTCCAGGAGGCTGGGCGGTATGACCAAAAATCCATATCACGGTATTTTTTAAGACTCTACCGGTTTCACGGTATATCACGGTATTTTTTTCCGCCTTAATGCAGTGGCGGGCCGTGGCGGGCTCTCTCTCATTATATTTTCATTTGACTACAACTTCAGCCAGGAAGCATATTGCCTCCTGGAGTAGGTATGGATTACAATAAGAAGTTTGTCCATGGACTCTGTGGCCCCACAGACTTTAGCACGATTTAGTCCAGACCCTGGCAAGATGTGTGACTAACATTACAGCCCATGTGTTCGGTGTAGCATTATTTCCCTTGTCTCTCTGTGCCGTCATCCTTCTTCTAGCAACTGGGCGATTTGAAATCAAATATTCAACATCGGCCCCGGCCTCTGGTCCTCTTGTTCACTGTTGTTCTTATCTGCTCTGGTGACCTCAGCTCCCTCACTCAGGAGAAATACAAACGTTTCTTTACTCCCCGCCCTTAGCCAATGTGAATTACAACATGTTTGTTTCTGTGTTTTCTTGTGGCTTTTATTAGCTGTCACCAAAGGAGGGGGGGGGATTAGTTTTGTATCAGTGTTTTCATAGCACTGACAGGACCTTTTTCCCCATGACACAGTGAGGCCCTTTGAAGCATCTTGAGCCTTTCTGCCTTTGTGTAAACAGCGGTGGCCGTGCCCAGTGAGCGCTGTTCAACTTTTCCCTCTGTTGTCATCTGTGAGATGTTATCTGATCATTGTTAGTATTTCACCGTGTGATGTGGGGAGTCTGCAGCTACCACACACTTGACATCATCTTTGGTTTTTTGGGTTGCCATGGGGAACAACAGCAAAGCATTATAAAGACCATAAAGGGGTATTTCATTTGTATGTTTTACTGTACACACTCAGCTATGGTGGTAGCTTATGCAGCAGGTGCCCATCTTTATCTGTTAAGTGCAAGAAGGATATACAGTACATCCTCCTGTGGCACAACCTACTCTCATAACCAAACCTCTTTCTTTTGCCGAGTTCTGACCTTAAATATTAACTCACCCTTTCCGAATATCCATCCATCCATTTTCCTCAGCTTATCCGGGGTCGGGTCGCGGTGGCAACAGGCCAAGCAGGCCGACCCAGACCTCCCTCTCACCGGCAACATGTTCCAGCTCATTCTGGGGGATCCCGAGGCGTTCCCAGGCCAGCTGGGAGATGTAATCCCTCCAGCGTGTTCTGGGTCTTCCCCGGGGTCTCTTCCGAGTTGGACGTGCCTGGAAAACCTCCAGTGGGAGGCATCCTAATTAGATGCCCGAACCACCTCAGCTGACTCTTTTCGACGCGAAGGAGTAGCGGCTCGACTCCAAGCTCCCTCCTGATGACCGAGCTCCTTACCCTATCTCTAAGGCTGAGCCCGGCCACCCTACGCAGGAAGCTCATTTCGGCCGCTTGTAGCCGCAACCTTGTCCTTTCGGTCACGACCCAGAGTTCGTGACCATAGGTGAGGGTAGGAACATAGACCGAGTGGTAAATTGAGAGCTTTGCCTTCCGGCTCAGCTCCCTCTTCACCAAGACGGTCCGGTGCAGCGCCTGCTTTACTGCTACAGCAGCACCGATCCGTCTGTCGATCTCCCGCTCCATCTTACCCTCACTCGTGAACAAGACCCCGAGATACTTGAACTCCTTCGCTTGAGGTAGGCACTCCGTCCCCACCTGGAGGGAGCAACCACCGGTTTCCGGCAGAGCACCATGGCCTCAGATTTGGAGGTGCTAACTCTCATCCCCGCCGCTTCACACTTGGCTGCAAACCGCCCCAGTGAATGCTGGAGGTCACGATCCGAGGAGGCTAACAGGACCACATCATCTGCAAACAGCAGAGAGGCGTTCCCGAGACCCCCGAACCTGACGTTCTCCACCCCCAGGCTGCGCCTAGATATCCTGTCCGTGAAAGTCACGAACAGGACCGGAGACAAAGGGCAGCCCTGGCGGAGGCCAACACCCACTGGGAACGTGTCTGACTTATTGCCTTTCCGAATAGTTATGAACAAACTCTGCTTCATATCTAATTTTGCCAAGATTGTCCAACAATTGCTAATAAAAAAAGGTTAATATAAAACCAAATGTCTGGTGGAATGAAGAGCCTTACATCTGTCTCTTCTGGAACACAGACGGACCCGTCTCCTTCAGGCTGTTACCAGGGTCAACTTTCATCTGGGAGCATTTATGTTACAGTTTAATATTTCCCCATGGTTATGTTTAAAGGTTTGATATATGGTGACAGATTTAGTCAACCATCAGACACAGAATGTGAACTAAAATAATGTCGGCCCCTGTAGTAGCTCATTTACAGTTGGTCTGTGTGGTCGTGTAGCTGTGCTCTGAAATGAGCCATTTGAAACAGCAAACGTTTAAGTATTAGATTACTTTCTACATGTTATGGTTGAACTTAGTGTGATTATTTATCTGTGACAGTAATAGGGTTAATCTTACTCGTGTACACAGGGATATACATCTGCGTGCATACTTTTGAACTACATTTGATATTTTGGTTCTGCTCAATGAATCAAACCATCAATTTAAAATGTATCAATGCCTTATTTATGTCAGCTATTAAATAAAAATACCAAACATTTGCTAGTTACGGCTTCTTTAACGTAAAAATGTTCTTGTTTTTCTTAGTTTCATGTCCATGTTAATTGATGACTTGGTGTTTTTAGATGGTTGTTGAGTAATATTAAGACATCTCACTGGGTACTGGTTACTTGTAATAATATTTGTTATTGTTTCTGGCATAGTTAATGATAATAATATAACTAAATAGAATCGAATGATAAGATCAAATGATATTTGGTATTACAGTATAGGTTTATGAGGATCTACAATAAATACATCACTGCCATTTATTGAGTGTCAGCCTGAGCAGAAGAAGAAGAGCATGTGTAATAATGTGAGTGAGCCAGGATGTCCAGCAGGAGAGCATTAGCCTCAGGCAGTGAGCTCAAGGTGCAGACTGGAGTCACGGTGTTAAACCCGGCGCTTTCCGTGTGTCGGCCCGCTTTACAGCTTAACCCCGCTAAGATCTGCAGCAGACCAGGCAGTGTCGATGGATTTTCTCCCTGCGTGCCGACTCTTAAAAAATGAAATTAAAAAAAAGGCCAAAGCCAGTCAGTGTGCAGAAGTGTTCCGATTTCAAACCCTTTCTTTGAAGAGTAATCAAAGAGGAAGCAGCGTGAGATGAATGTGTAACCACATCCCTCCCTCTTTCTTTCCATCTCTTTTTCTATCTCAGTCTTCTATTATTTTTTCTCAGTTTCTGTTGTTCTCTCCCTCCCAGAACTGGCGTCCATATTCAGGCCTGTCAGAGGCGTTCCAACATCAGTGTGTGTGGTATTAGCAGAAGCTTGCATATTTTTCTGTAGATGCAGATTTGAGTGGAGGATGTATGTGAGTCTGTGCATTTGTGTGTGTATTGTACGCAGACCATATTGCAGTGTAACGGCGCATTAAACGGAGCTGCTCTCTGACTAACACACACACACATGCTGCTATCTGACCCCTGGACCCTGCACTCCTCTCTGTTCTATTAACTGAACTGGTCCGTTAAATCAGTGCAGCCCCGGCGGAATGGAAAGAGACACTGCTACTGGTTACTGACCTAGTGGCTTGTACATTATTTTCTCTTTTTTCTGTTCTTTGGTGAACAGAGAGGTATGCGTGACACAATGCAGCTGGAATGGGTCTCCAACCCTTTTAAAAATACTTCAAATATGATTCAAGTTCAAGATTTGACTGTAAAAAAAAAAAAAGTCCCTGAAGTTAAAAGGAGTTCTGTTTCCTGAATATGGAATTTCAAATTGTTTTTAAAAAAGGCATTCCAGGTCTCACGCGCTACCTTTGTTAGTATTTTGAAGGCAAATCCTACTAAAGCAGGATAGTAATACTAATATATAGCAGAGTTAATATCATACAGTGGGCATCATGCAAACAGCATGCATCACTAAATGTGGGATCGACTCTTTCCATTTTTTCAAATCAAGGAAAGGTTTATTAAGCATGTTCAGTCTTTTCCAGCAACACCCAGAGTTGTGCGCACACACTCTCTTTGGTTCTTTCCATTGCAATCCTCATCCTCTGATGTCGCCACAAAGCAGCGCCCTCTGAGCACTTGCTCAACGTGATAAAGGGAGGCCGAGGAAGATCAACTAACATGACTTCATGTGTCCTCTCCTTTCTCTCTCACCTCTCCAGTTAGAGCTGCAGTCGTGCTGCGTGTTCCTGCCCAACGACAGCCTCCCCTCCCCGAGCACCATCACTTGCGGCGACATACCCGGCACCGTCCGCAGCTGGTACCACAACCAGGCCTCCATGCCCGGGACTCTGGTAGTGTGCCTGCCGCATATCAGCGTCCTCAGCACCGGGCATAAGTACATGGAGCCGCTGCAGGAGCTCCCCTTCGTGGTCTCCAAGCCCATCCTGGAGGAAGGTACTGTATCTGATGACTTCTCAGCTTTAATTAGAGCAGTTCAAATGCTGGGAGGAGATCACACAAGACCAGATGAGGACTACGCCAAATGACTCGGGGTCAAAAAACAAGATTGATTTGAAAGCTTGAATGAGAAAACAAAAATGTCTCTCTTTGGAAAACAATGACAGTGATAGGTTCATTATAAATGGGAGTTTTGGAAAATACATTTTAATGGGTGGGAAAAATCTACTTATGCTTTTATTAATAATTGAAATGAATGCTTTCATAATAGCAAAAGGCTACATAATGTGAATTCATCATCATTATGGCCTTTTCAACACTGAGCCAACCTTTGACCCACCACTACTCATTTACCATGACAAAAGACAAACAAACTTAAGCACGGCGACTTTGAGAGATAGATCTTGCACATGTGGCGCGCACACCTGGGTAGAGTTGACATAAGCAACACTCAGTGTTTTCTCTTAGGAAGAAGAAAAAAAGGGGGGGGGGGCACCCTCCTCCTCCTCCTCTCTTTTTTTTTTTTTTTTCTCTCAAACTCTTCAATGACATCAGCATTGGGCAAACCGATTTTACAAAAACGGAGAGAAAAAAAACCCCAGTGACATCAGCAGCCTTGTCAATGTTGCCGTAAAAACTAACAACCCGTTTGCTTTTAGTAATTCATTCCTAGCCTTTGAAAAGCCCTTCATCTCTCACTTTCAAAGCCCACGGTGCATGGGAGATGTGCTCTTCACTGCCCGTGCTCAGCGTTCTACCAGGCAAGTGAACAAGCTCGAGCTCTCCCGGTGTGGCACCCTGTCTCAGACCCACAGGTTCAGAATAGACACTCATTCTACAATGTGTTTTCATGTGATCGTCTTCCTGCCTATTGGGTGTAGAGGGTTTGATACTCCTCAGTGCATCTTTAATGATGAGCTCTCTCATCCCATGTGCAGTCATTAGCTTTGATTTTAAAGGTGAATGAATGGAATTATGTAGATGTCATAGTGGTTTTGATGAGTATTGCTGACTTATCCTTCTGCTGTTTTAATCAATTGCACTTTTCCAAATCTAGTCTGCATTTTCTTGCATCTCTCTTTGGCCTTGGTTACACTTGTCTCTTCAATGCGACTTTAGTCATCCGATCGTGCCACGACGCATTAACTGTCATTCTGCACACTCCGAGATCTGCTCTTTCCTCGCGTTGGGGTTCGATCGGCCAGGCCACCTGACCGAGGTGGGCTGGCTCCCATTGAGTTGGGATCTCAGCGAGGTGTGGACAGGTCTCCATCCTCTCCCCCCCCCACCCCACCCTGCCCCACACACGGGAGTAGAGTAGAGGGAAGAGAGGAGGCCTCCTGAGACCTGTGGTTTGTTCCAATACCCATACTACTATTTAGTTTGCCAGAAAGAGATGTATGTCCCAATACATAGTGTGTCAAACTGCATCCAGTCAGCATGCTTTTCTGGCTGTTCTGACCCACAATCCTCTGGATATAGCAGCAAGAGGGTCAAAGTTCAAGATGCAATTCTGTAATGAAAGGAGTATGTCCCAAATGAATGCATACTGCATGCAACAGTAAAAAGACAAAGCATGCGATTTGGAACACGTTTCCACTTTGTGAGTCAGATACTGCTGATGACAAACCAACGTTTCATATAAATGCTTTTAAATAACAAAACAAAAGCGGGCTTTTATTGTGAAGAATTTACAGGAAAGGATACAAGTTTATCCACCACTTTACAGCCACTTCTTTGACCACGATCACTATCCGATTAGGCAGGTCGCAAAGAAGAATCAAAAGTGCACATACATATTCGGACATGACTGACTTCTGATCTGGTTCAGCCGCTGAAAAGAAAAGTGTAATGAAGCCTTCCTCTCTATACCACAATGACTTGGCCTGCCCTCTTTGCGTTCCCCTCACATGACCTCTCTCTCTCCCCTTCCTCCCCTCTCCTCTCTCCATGTCTGCCAACGTCTCTGTGTTGCAAATTTGAATCCTCTTTCTCCTACCGCTTCATCCCTTGCCCCCACACCTGTTATTTGTCCCTCTTCTTACCGCTCCCTCACCTCTCCCACCAGGTGACGCCTTCCCGTGGTCGGTCAGCCTGAGTCAGTTTAGCGTGTACACGTTGCTGGGACAGCAGCAGAGCCTGAGCCTGCTGGAGCCCATGGGCTGTACCTCCACGCTGGCCGTCACATCCCACAAGCTGCAGAGCTGCTCTGAGGGGGGACACTCCTTCGTGGTCTGCCTCCACGTCGATCTGCAGCCCGTCCACGTCAAGTGCTCCAACCCTCAGGTCAGTGAGGCGGCGCCGGATCTCACCGAGTAGTTGTCAGATTTTGCATGTATATTTATACAAATCATCCCTGTGGTAAACTCTCCTGAAATACGAACACACACAAACCCTGGCAGGACGGTCCTGCCCCTGCATGATTCTCTCTCATATAGATTGACTCCAAAAAACAAACTGCCTCATCTTCTTACATGGCATCAATTTCATGAGAATGGAAGCATAAACAAGAGAGTGTTGCCTTGTTTGCTTTGGTCCCATATTTTGAGGTCTGAGCAAAGGAGAGCGTGGGGGTTGCGAGACTCCTCATTGTTTTACTGTGCACTATGATATTTCAGCGAGAGCCTGATGGATATGGATGGATTAGAAATGGTTTGTCTCCCCGGTTAGGTCTCCGTGTTGTTTTTCATTGCGCCGTTAACAGCGCCGTAATCACATATACATGTGCATTATTACACATGTTTTGTTTTTCCGCAATTGAATTAGCTGTATTGAATTAGGTTCCTCTGTAAACACTTAATTGGGACGATCTTTTGAGTGGTTGCGCTGTTAAATGTCTCTGACCGCCGTGATGAGCCATGGTGATATTGGGGGGAATTGGTACCAGACAAACAAATGAAAGACATTAATCCGGTGGTGATGAAAACGTTCCCAGGGATGAGGAGAGCTGGTCGGTTTTAAGGGAAAAGTTTATTTTTCTTTCTTCCTCTCCGTTCTTCCTTTCAAATGGAGTGCCTGTGTCTGGCAAAGCTGGGGGGGCTTATTGCGATTATATGATGAGTCATTATTAGTTTCTGGGTCCAATGAAAACTTCTCTTCTCATTCTCTTTTCTCCTCTCCTCTATCCTCACTTCACTCCTCTCTCCTGTCCTCACTTATCTTCTCTCCTTTTCTGTCCCCTCCTCTCCTCTAATCTCCTCTCCTCTCTCCTGTCCTCACTTATCTCCTCTCCTCTCTCCCCTTTCCCTCCTGTCCTGTCCTCTCTCCCCTTTCCCTCCCGTCCTGTCCTCTCCTCTCTCCCCTTTCCCTCCTGTCCTGTCCTGTCCTCTCCTCTCTCCCCTTTCCCTCCTGTCCTCTCCTCTCTCCCCTTTCCCTCCTGTCCTCTCCTCTCTCCCTTTTCCCTCCTGTCCTGTCCTCTCCTCTCTCCCCTTTCCCTCCTGTCCTCTCCTCTCTCCCCTTTCCCTCTCGTCCTGTCCTCTCCTCTCTCCCCTTTCCCTCCCGTCCTGTCCTCTCCTCTCCTCTCTCCCCTTTCCCTCCCCTCCTGTCCTCTCCTCTCTCCCCTTTCCCTCTCCTCCTGTCCTCTCCTCTCTCCCCTTTCCCTCCCGTCCTGTCCTCTCCTCTCTCCCCTTTCCCTCCTGTCCTCTCCTCTTATCTGACTTTACATTTTTGACTTGAGGGGGTTCATAATCTCATATTGTGTACCATTTGAAGTCATGCAGCAGCTCTTTAAGAACTATTGCCAGAGCGGCCCCACCCACTCCAGAACAACAAAAGAGACCCCACACTTGTTACTCCTCTTTCTAATTAGCATCTCCATGAGTGGGAGCGTTTACTATAGGTTGTCAGAGCGCTGGATAGTTGCTGCACGATAAGTACCACCATGACGGTGAGATGAGAACACTGAAATTGGTGTAGTGTGGGTGGTAGAGTTACATCTAGCATTTTGAAACATGAATATGTTAAAGTCAACTAATAAAACCAAAGAGCTTGGCCTCTAAACTTCCCCTGGCATCTACACTTCATTTTTGTGACATTAAATCAGATTTTCCATAACATGCAGTGGATTACTTCATGGCACAAACAAAGATATTTTTAGAACCTGGGGTGAAACAATCGAGACTTGGGGTGTTTTTTCTTTATTTTACATTTGTACAGGCAGCCACAGGTGTCATGGTTTTAATGTTTAAGATCTTTGTCATCTGTGTGTCTATGAAAGTGACTGTACACATGAATAGGCCCGTTTCTGAATGGATTTCTCAGACGATATTAAGGGTCTGAGAAAGACAGCAGCAAAGACAGTGGGAAGTAAGGTAAGTGTCTTTGAAAGGGTTGAGGAAAACATCGAGAGTATAAAGGGATAAGCATTATTAGAAGAGAGCGAGAAAAAAATGAACCAGGCACACACACACATAATGTATGCATAGAAATGAAGAGCGAACACAAGAGAATCGGCGTGTTTCCAACATCGCTTCTCTTTTCATGCACTAGGTTTGTTTTATTTGGCTTCTATAACATAACAAAGAAAACATCCACAATACACATTTAGGTGTTTATTTTACTACGTTGTCTATTTGTGTCTGTAGATTTCTCCTAAATTCACCAAAAGTTACCATTAGATAATGCCTCATTTGCATATTTAAACACATATTTCAGAAAACTTGTAATACAAAAAATGATTAATGTAAGTTATCAAATGGGGAACTTTCATGGTGATATCTAGTGGTTAATTTTTTACCATATTCACTTATAGTGTCTTGTATATCATTTTTAATACATGTCTTTTTTAATTTTTAAAAGAGTAATCCAAAACCCCCCTCTGTAAAAACCTTTGACTCTAATATGTCAAGAATATGAAATAAACAATTTGAACCTGGTTTTATCCAAAGTTCAGATTTCTTCTCTGGAAATGTATGAAAATATGCCCATATTTGATCAGATAATGCCTCAATTGCATATTCAAACATAAAATTTCCCAAAACTTAATATAATTGTCAGTAATCAACTGGGGAAGTTTCACCCGTCGTGTCTCCCATTAATGTTAATGTGAGCTTGCAGGGCTGTGCTCGCTGTGTATAGTGCGTGTCGGCTCCAATCTGAGTCAGTGTGTCTGTGTGAATGATTCATGTGGCTGTCAGAAGGATGGGGCTAGTAGCTGCACTTATACCTTATCAGGACCACCTTGAAATCAGCACACACACCACCATCACCACCAGCGTTTGCTTTGACCTTAGACACCGCACAGCATTTCAGTGAACACACACACAAACACACACACACACACACACACACACATACACACACACGTCCGTACACATATACCCTCTCAGCTACCACGCATACTCAACGACATTTCCCTTACTGTGAAGTCTCTATAAACTCAGCGCTCAGATAAAGGAACACGGAACACTTACTGTCCGCATGCCGTCCCGTCTTTCATCTGTGTTGCTTTTATGAATGACTGCTGAAGCCTCTGTTCAGCCTCCAGTTTGCACCACTGCAGATGAACAGACCTCCCGGTCCGCAGGTGACGGGTCTTTGGAGAAACCCAGCCCTCCAAATGTTCTGCGCACTTCCCCGACTCTTGAAATGTGGAGTGTGTATCGGGAGCTCATGTTAGTAAGTGTGTGTGTGTGTGTGTGTGTGTGTGTGTGTGTGTGAGAGTGTGGGGCCGAGCCTGACAGCAGTAGCTGAGATAAACCCACTGACCCTACTTTGCACAAATCTGGGATATCATGAGCAGGAAGTAGGTGTAGGACGGAGCAAATGGCAGAGGCAAGATAAGATATGAAGGATAGAGTGTGGTGAGAATAGACAAAATATGAGCGGGTGCATGAAAGGAATTAGTTGACGGATAAAATGAACTAAAAATCTCAAGGTGAAAGCAGACTGAGCCCCAGACTTGGCTACAAACAGAGATCATGTCATGACCCTTCATCTCAGCCCCACTGTGCTCACTCCTTCCCCTCTCTCATCTCTCGGCATTCTTCGCTTCCTCCACATCTGCTGCTGAGTGCAGTAGGCCTTGTTGTGCTTGGTAGGACTTCCAGAAACCCCAGACTCTCCGGGACGAGAGCGTGGAGCAGCACCTCTCCTGACGGCGGTGCAGTCGGTGCCGGGTATGGCAGGCAGCTGTTGGCCTCTCTGCACCCTGGACAGTCGCCGGATCGGCGTAAGCGGCTCTTCCTGGACATGTTTGAAAATGGCCCAGCTGCAATGTATTGTGCTGCTTTTCATTTTGATTTATGCTTATTTATGAAGGGCCTCCCTGCAATGTGCGCGCTAACATGCGTGCGCAGGCCGAAATGTGTTTGGAGTAGAGAGAGAGAGCTATTTTCTGTGTGCGATCATGTGTCCGTGCACCTTTTTTACTTTTGAGGACTCAGTTGGCCGCAGAAGCGAAGCGTTCAAAATCCAGAAATTAGCTCACTGTGAAAGAGCGTCGCTTTTCTTCTCCCCCCCCACCCCCTCTCTCCTCTCTAAAGAACACAGAGTGAACGCATGAATAACCGAAAGCATCACATTCCCCTGCCTTCCCCTCATGTTTTCCACTCTTGTTTTTGGCTTTGTTGTTGTTTAAAGCCCAGGCCCTCTATTCATGTGAACACATGATAAATAGTTGAGAACACTTGACGCCGAGCCTTCGGTTTTTCCTAACCGTGGTGAGTTTTTTCAGGGGTGGGTGGGGGGGGGGGGGGGGGGATTGATGACACAACTCAACTTTCCTCTATGGGTGTTTCTTTGGGAGTTTTTGTTATGGATAACAAATTTTCACTGTGGAGTACGTGCGTGAGCACGCTCTTGCCTCGCAAATGATCACCCGTCGATTAAAGACACAAAGACAGGTTTTCATGTGATTGTGAAATGAGGATGGACGACATGCACAAAGTCTAAAAGACAGTGAAAGAAATGGGAATGGATATAGTGGTCCGTTTTTTGGCTAATATTTCCCCCTTCGCTCTCAACTTTAACTAGGTTTAGTGTCACATAACTACAAAGCTGCCAAGCCAAATCATGGTAATGTCCTCAGAAGTAAGAAGTACATGAGAACTCCCCAGTGCAGCTGCTTGAGTCAGACCTTGGCAAAGACACATTTGAATCTGGTTTCAAATATTAAGGCTTCTTGTGGTGAGTTAGGTCTATCTTTTAAGGCACTCAGTTGGCGCAGCAGACTTCATGTATTGAAGTGTTTTCAGCTGTTGGTCAACATCTGTGTGTGTGTAGGGAGAAAGAGCTTGAAAGAAATGGATCGATCGACCCCGCGCTTTAGTTTTTTCCATACATTGGATCACGTCTCATCCCAACCACTGTGAAGTACGAAATCTAGCATTGCAACTTAAAGTCCTCTGCTTCTGTCTCTCTCCAGGTTCAGCTGTTGTACGAGCTCCTGCTCAGCTGGAGTTCCACGTGGGCTCGTCTCCAGAGGCACCGCATTCTGCGTCAGACCTCCAGCATCCCAGAACCCCCTGCTGGTGCCGCCCCGTCGTCCCCAGTGCGCAGCAGTGCCGGCACCGCGCTGCCGGACACCAGCACCTGCAGCCCGTCTGCAGATTTTGGCTCCCCCACCGAGGTTTGTTCACTTTGGTCGGTTAAGTGTTTTTATGAGTGATTCGTGGATCTGCACATCTAGGTTGCGTTTTTTCCTCACATGGACGAGCCTCTTCTTCTTCTTAGAAATAAAGCTCAGACTTTTACTTCATTAATATTTAAATATTTACTTATCTTACTGCTGCTCCCTCGACCATATTTCACACTACAACACAGTATCGGCCAGTTTTGTACTTCTATCATCATTCATTCTATGTTTTTCCTTTAAATCAGGGTTTCTGGGTAATCCGTCCGTCCGTCCTGTCCATTCTCTTCAACGGCATATCTCATGGACACCTTGAGTGAATTTCTTCAGATTTTGCACAAATGTCCATTTCATTCATTCATGCAAGTGGACATTTGTGCAACATTTGGGTCACTGTGATCTGTTGGCCATAACTCATGAATTCATATGCTTACTATGACAATTTCACACAAACGTCCAACAGGGTAAAATGAGGAAGTGATGGTATTTGGGACAGACATGGATGTGAGCTGCACCGTGTCTGGTTGGGGCGGTGACTTATTGTTTTGAGAAGTTGACTCAGCACTAACGCATGCAATGTGTCTGAAAAGAAATCTGTTTTGTTTGGGAAGGATTTTCAAAGCTGGAAAAATCTCATCAGTGCTTGTGTTTGGGACAGAACAGATACTCCAGATAGGCTGTGAGCTCTGTTTGATTCATGTAAGCTGGGGGCTTGCTTGAGTATAAACCTAGCCTCTTAATTTAGGGAAAACAATCACCTGTATTTACATTTTTCGCTCAGATAAAATATCAAACCCGGAGCGTGAAGGATGAAGCGTAGCAGTGCGTGCAGGCATGAGCAAAGCCCATGGAGAGCTTCAGAGCTTCTCGGGGGCAACGGCAAATGTTGAGTGTTTTCCTTTTTGTCCCTAGGTGATGCTTATCCTTGGCTTTGACAGTGTGGCAGCAGTTTTTTTTCTACTTTTTCTCCTGTCTATTACAGTAGCAGCAGCAGTGTCTAGCTGGGGGTCCAGGGCCTTGGGGGCCTCAGCCCCCGGGGCCTTGCGTAATATCGATGTGTACATTCGTGTGGAGTAGTAAAAATGACGGTGTTGATGAGTGTTTGTGTTGTTAAGCACTGGCACCTAGCCCAGGGATTTAATGCTGTGTGACCACCAGGGGCCTCGCATTGCTGACAGGCCCCTGGTGGTCACAGCATACCGCCCTGGGAGCCAATAAAGTGTCTGCGTGAGAACACACACACGGGGGGGAAACCAAAGTGTTTCAAACGTCGACGTGCATCTGTGTCTGCGTTTGTTTCCGCGTGTGTTCTTGCATCACAAGTGGCAGCGGTTCGGTTCGGCGGGGGGGGGTGATGGTATAGCGCGTCTATAACAAGGCCACCGAGGACCCCCCGACAGCCCACTTGTCACTGTTTACCTAAGTACAAACACTGGTAGAAGTGTTTAGTCCTCTGGGAGGCTGGGTGATTGAGCAAGAATGTAGGAGCTGTTTTGATAAGTCTCAGCAGTAGTGGCTGCCCCCCCCCCCCCCCAGCTATTGAGTCCACACAATATTCTGTGACACTTTATATATGATACACCGTAGTCCACTGGGTGCTTTATCCTGCCTCTCTCGTTCTATCTTCATCACTAAACCCTCCTAGCTTTTCTCCATCCTCCCACCTGTCCCTAAACCATCCTTCTCTTTCCACTCGTCCCCCATAATCTGCCCCCTTCCCTCCGTCTTTCCTCGACACCTCCCAGCCTGCTGTTGTCTTCCAATGTTTGGGTCACTCTGATGAGCAAAGACAAACTCTGCAAAGAAAATAAACCCCGGGATCCTCGGCCCGTTTATGCCGCAGGGGCCCAGGAATTAAACTGTATACTTTACAGCTTGGCTTGTGGAGGTGTGGGAAAAGAGCTCTCTCTTAGAATGTGTGTGTTTGGGGGCCCGATCTGGCAGTTCAGGAACGTCGGGCGGAGCCCAAGGCCTCACCTTCATCAGAGGAGGAGGAGAGAATTTCCTGTCACTCATGAAAACATGAACTTTGGCTTTTTGGAAGTTATTAGTGATGTTTTCCTTTTACAGTTGACTTTTCTTTGTCATTGACACTGAAATCCATGTGATCTTAAAAATGCACTTTTACAGTTGTAGGAGCTCTTTAAGAAAGCACACTGAAAAAAATAAATGACATTTACTTGAAAAAAGCTAGGTAACAATTTGCACTCAGGAATTCCTGAGTAGGAATTCCTAAGTTAAGTTTACTTACTAGTAAGAACTGTTTTTTATCCAAAATTTTCAAGTAACTTTTACTTGCAAATGTCTTCCTTAGACATAAAATGTACTTAGTAATCTTTCCTCAGGCTACCTTTGCATCTAATTACAAAACCCCAGTAAAACTCAATTAGGTGTTTCATGTATATTTAACTAGCTTTTCTTTACTTTTTCAATTGAGAAATATTAAGTAATATTTACACAATATATATTTTATCTACTACTACTCTACACAACTGTTCAAATATGAATGTTGTATTTTTTTTTAAACTGGGCTACTGTTAACATAAGGCTTCTACAAAACATCTTTTAAACTACAGCAGCTTTACTTGTTAACTGGTGAAAGAGGTCACTGCTGACAGACATAAATACCAACACATAATCTGGTTGGCATCGCCAGACAAAACATTTCTAAATCAGTGCTGCCAATAAGAAATTTAAGAACACAAACGTTTAGTCATTTAACAAACACTTTTAATTTGAAACGATGGGTATTGCTTGATAACACTTAGATACACATAGATGAAGCCCATGAGCAGAAGGCTAGCCTTTGCCACACTTTGACAGTCATCAAGAACCTCTTTTCCTCTGACGACGAACACGATTGTCAGGAGTGAAGCCTTTCTGTGTTGCATTTCCATGGATGACAAGGATCTTCATGACATGTTGAGCATAGTCCTCTTCAATGACTTCTTTGAAATTCAAATTTACTAATGTTCACTTTTACATCTTCGAGTCTGATGTGTTCTCAAAAAATGACGATAGTGGGGGAAACAAACAAAAATATTGAATGTGTTCAAATGCGTCATTATGTATCCATTCTCAGTGTATATGAGCCCAACATAATTTTATATAATATTAGATATCTAAACTTTACCAGGCTGGGTGATTCCAGCATGGGTCTTGGTTCCTGCAACTCCGCCCTTTGTCCCAAGTATCTCCAGAAAGTTGGTAGTGCAATTGTCCAATTTCGACAAAAAGTTTCGCTCCAGATGAACTGTGGTTATTCTTCTGAACTCCTCATTGATCTGAAACAAAAGACAAAAAACAACATGATCAAGATGAGGTACCTTGCTAAAACAATTAATGCAGTAGTCCTCCCAGTATAATGTACTATTGACAGCAACACAAACTATGACTTCAAATGTATGTCAAGTTAATTAAACTATAACAGTACTAAGTTGATTTTACCTTGCGTCAACTGTTGATGTCAACTTGCTGAGAGTGAACGTCCTTTAATATTCTGAAATATATAGAGAAATTGTTAAAACATGAACACAACATTAAATCTGAATTTGGCTTAAATCTTCATATTGATAGCATGTTTTATCCCCACACAGAAAAACAGCACATAAACAAGCCAACATAACGTTAATACTGAGATACACAGCAGGCCTGGTCATGTTGATATGCGACACTAACTCAACACAGTACTGGTACCTTGTTTCATGCCCAAAGCCTTAATCATCAAGGACACCACATTGGATAGAGACATAAGAGACCAGTTTAAAACTAGTGACAGAAATATAAGTCACTGTAAAAATATGTCAGAATATGATAGTGACAAAATAATGTTAAGTGTATTAGACTCGCTCTAAAGTCACTAATTCCACCACGTATGGGATATTTTTTAGCACATGACCAGTGTGCTTGCTGCTGCTTAGCTATGATTCCATGTCTTGTCACATTTTCCTCATTCGACCTCGGCTGCACTTGAGGATGTCCGAGAGAAAGTGTCTCGCAGCACAGCAAAGCACCTGTGTGGCAGAAGTGGGCTTCACAAAACCGAAGTAATTCCCCCTCCCCCTCGTCGACAGAGCGCAGCTGGTCGAGCACCGTGTCCCCAGGCCAACAACTTTTCAAGGGAGAACCCTGTAAAATCGTGACCAAAACCACCAAAAACATGTCCACAAAATGTAGCGCCGTGAGCCATGTCTGTAATGCTGTCCCAAGTTAGCTAGCATGATAGCCTAACTAGCTAGCACGCTAAACTGACCAGTTCGCTACTCTTCAGTGTTCACAACTCAAACACAGACTTGACCGAAGGCTCAATAGCAACGTAGAGCATTAATTAAACATATCATCTACCCCAATGGCTCCCGTCCATGAAGTTCCTCTCCTCAGGTGAAACGCTGCCGTCCTTGTTCAGGTTCTGCTGTTCCGTCGTCTCGTTGAAGTAAGGAGCGCGAAATCTCCTCTGACGTCACCCCCTGAGTACGCGCTATAGGTTGCCAGGTTTTACTCGTATTACCCAAGTACATTTTACTTTGTTGTGTCAGGTAGTGCATTCAACACAGTAGTTTAGTAGATATTACTTAGTGTGAATGATTAAAATGTACTTATAAAAATGAGGATACATAATTACAAACAAACACCAAGTAACACATTAAATAAAAGGTGATATTTTAAAGTAAAAGCACTGGAATAATAATTTCTTGTAAAATTTACAAAAATAATCGAGGTAATAATTACAGGGCTAAAAAGTCTTTTTTTTCAGTGCAGTCTTTTTTTTAAATTCCAGGTATTCATTAAATTCTCTTTAAATTCTTAGTTTGTTTTTCTACAAAAGTAGGCAGATTTTCTTTCTCTCATTTGAAGCCGTTCACAATTAACAATATACTTCCATTTAAAGCACAAAGATCGTTTTGAAAATGTTTGCGTGAGTTTCAAAATGACAGCAGCGGTTCTGGCTGGCGAGCAGCAGCAGCCGGGTGTCCGATGCTCCAGTGTAACCACGCTACAGTACACAGTGGTCTGAGCTTCCCACAGCGCCAGCGGCTGGCTCCTGTTTCCACACATGACATTACAGAATCTAATCCTACCGACCGGCCAGAACTGTAAACTAAACAATCCAAACCACACACACACACACACACACACACACACACACACACACACAGGCCTGTGTTTTGACTCCAGCTCGACAATAATCAGTCCCCAAATGGCAGTTGACACTAGAATATCTCTCATTGAGACTGACTGAACACCATTACTACTTGGCTCATATTACACTCTGCCAGTCACTGTTATTACACACACTCACACACGCACGCACACCTTGGCTGTTTGGTTCCATGGAAACACATAATGACACTGCTTGACACTTGACTGGAGTAAATGCTAGCTCTGGGGGAATTACGTGATTACGTTTTTTGTGGTATTTTTGCCCATGTGGACAGTATTTCATTTCATCGTTTTGAGTTTTATGGAGCTTAAAGTCATGTTATATAGTGTACTGTATATTTGATCTACTATAGGACTGTATATCCCATGCCTGCAGAGCTTTCGGTGTCCTCCAGTCTTGCCAAGTTCCTGCCTGTGTTTCTGGTGCATTCCTGTGTTTATTTTTCTTTCATCTGATAGATTTAAAATCTTTAATTCTAAAATAGATAATGCTTCCCACGGAGCACATGCTTCTCATCCGTTTCTGGCGGTCCCCACACACAGTTTCGTTGAATCTATTTTTGAATCAGTATAATCCTTCATTTATTTATATCATTGTCATGCGTTGTTATTGAGCTCTGCTGTCAGCCACCCCTCAACTGCACGATGAAATTAGATTTGCAATTTAGCATCCCCCCCCCCTCACCTCCCCGAAATGCTCAGCAGGGACATAGTTTCCTCATCTGGACCCTCTTTAAGACGCTGTAATCAGCCCAGCAGCTGTGGGGTTTCTAATTGAGATGGTTGATAATCTCCCCGCCAACCACAGCCAGCCTCGACAACCATGACACAATCTGTCATTACCACGCCGCGATGGGGGGAAAGGCCTGTGGAAAGAGTGAAGCCCCACCATGCCAGAGCTGCAGATTGCCATATTGTTTGTTTGCAGGCTTTTCACTCTCCGAGTCAGTCGCACAGATAGATGTTTGGAAAACAGATGAAACCAGGAAGAGCGCAGGAGAAATACAAAACTGTCCCCCAGTGCTGTCATCCTCGGTGCCCTGCCATACCCTGCAGTAATGAGACGAGAGCTCACAGAAGTCAACCTCCTCCGCCGCATACTGCTTGCCTCCCCCCCACCCCCTTCACTTCCCATTCTCTCACAAGCTGCAAGACGTGTGTGTCCTGGCGCACTTGAGTGAAAGCAGGCCACGTGGGTGCTGGTGGCTTAGTTTTGGGGTTAACACCAGTGACAGCTCCACACAATGCCCCCGCGCCCCCCCCCCCCCCCCCCCCCCCCCCCCCCCCCCCC